CTATCGTACCCACGTAGTGGTTGAGACAAATCTGACTCTCCCGACCATTCCAAGTGCAGGAGGCAAACATTAAACATTTCATATATTTCTAAGGCTACGATTTGTGGGGGAGTAAAGTAATGATTGAAAAACAAAATCGCAGTTCCAACCAAAGAAAACTCTAAAGAAACAAACAAACATATAATATCTACATCTGCTTTTTCTAGCCTTTTCGTTAATGGTATTTGAATAAAGACAAAACTGCTCACGTATTTTTTATTTATTTGGCGTTATCTATAATTAAAGACTTTAATAAATACAGATGTCACTGTAAGTAAAATCGCCTAAATTTTTCGTGTTAAACTGAATCTTACCTTTGGGTTCGATATTTTCAACTTCTTGCGACCAATAGATGGCGCTATCTACAAGTGGAATCCCATCGTTGTTTTTTAGAGTTGTATTTTTTATTTTGTCTACTTTGAGGGAGACCTGAAAGGGGACGCAAAACTTGGGCATTTCTGAAACTCTTACGGTGTTATGTACTGAGCTTGTAGTAGTTAAAAGAGCAACAGGGGTCAGTTTTCGGTTGACGTTTGGGGATACTTTCACAACGCCTGGAGTTAGTGAAAAATGCTTTGGTAAATCCGTTATATTTGTCACCGAAATGACGTCGCTGAAATTGCCTAAAACATTATGATTAGAGGAATAGGATAAACTATGAAAAAACGTGATGTTTGAGTAGTCGAAATCTCCCTGTTTAAATACTGGGTTTGGGGGATTTCCATCTTCATCATAATAATCTTCTTCATACTCATCGTTTGTATCATCTTCTTCATCAATGATGTCTTCTTCACCATACTCCTCGAACTCTTCTTCGTTGTCGTCATCAAGACTCTGTGTATCTCTTTGAGTTTTACGAAAATAATTTGTGTTTTTGTTCAGTCGAGATATTCTGTACGACCCATCGTCTACGTAGGAACTTTCGTAGCGTAAGAACAACCCGAGAAAGTCCCGTAACCTTCGCGCAGTCCCTTTATGATTCCCCGAGGTTTGATGTCTGAAATAAGTGACAGTGCGGAGATATCCTGTCTGTTCATTCTGGAGTGATAACATACACACTATCAAACATCCTAAAACAAGCGCCAAAATTAGCGCCACCACACGGGATTTATGCACTGTGTACACTTTCATGGTGAAGACGCACAGGACTAGCTGCTTTCTAGCATTAGGGTTCCATAACGAAGACGAAAATCTCATCTCATCTCATCTCCAGAGGTTCGAAAACCCGACAATAAAATGGAAAGGGTAGGAACAGCATTCCTCCGGAAAGCTCCAAGCTCACTTTCACAGCTCTGCCTTCATTTTCTGCAAGAGAAACAGGACAACCATCATTAATGCAAGAATTTTCAATTATGAAACACAAATAAATTAATTAGTTTTTACCAAATTACTTCCAAGGATGAAAGTAAGATGTTGCATCAGGAAAATGTATGATTGTAGTGTTGATGTCTGATAGAAGCAGCTGCACGTGCTGCATAAAGTCCGGCAATTATAGAACTACAACACAGATATCTTATGGGAAGAGTTTGACCTTAACTTTTATTTTATAAGTAACCATTTGTTAAAAACAAAGTCGGATTATTTCATACAAGGTGGTCTTAGATAAATGTCACATGTATTTATTATAAAGTTAAATCATTGCAGTGGACGCGCCTTTTAAAGAAATGGAATTATGTTTATCTGAGGGCATAAGTAGAAGTAAAAAACACTATTTGCATGATGCTGAATTAATGTATTACTCATGTTTTTATTTTCTAATTATTGGCTGTCGCAGTGCTTGTGTTGTTGTATAAGAGTTTGTCAAGTTATCCTTGCCTAGCTTATCATCTAGCAGTTCGTTTTTCTGTTTTTCATAATGTAATTTACATAAATTCTGAAATCTTAGACATAAACTTACTTTCAAAGTATAAGAAAACAAAATTACATAGTACATAAACAATACTAGGGAACAAATTTATGTGTGCATAAGTCAGCAATTTGAGAGTGCTGCGGAAAAGGAAGAGCTTCCACGTTTGTGATGAAGGAAGCGTCTTGAAAGCATGTCGACAAGTGAATACTTCAACGAGTAACACCACGTGTATATCTAAGGCGTCAGTTTCAGCACACCCTCCCGGTGTTCTATCCAGGAGAAAACCTAACGAAGTCAGTTTTCAGCACACACTCATGGTGCGTAACCAGGGGAAGCCCTAATGGCGCCCATTTCACAACAAAGTCCCAGTAAAGCACTCAGAGAAAAATCTTACGTCGTGCTTAGAGTAAACAACTGTGGGAAGTTGACGAGAGTAATAGGGTTAGTTTCAAAACTTTTAGTTAAGGGATTGTAAATCCTATTGCCCACAGAAACATGTTAATTTCAGCACACAGACTCTTAGTGTGTTACCAGGGCAAGTTCTAAGGACATCCATTTCACAACAAAGTCCCAGTATAATATCCAGAGAAAAATATAACGCTGTCAGTTTCACAATACCCTCCCGATTAAGTACGAAAGGAAAAATCTAACTACGTCAATTTCAATACACACTCCTAATGTGGTAACCAAAGAAATATCTAACACTATCAGTTTCACAACACACTCCCAATGTAACAATCAGGAAAAGATCTATGTCATTAATTTCACAAAACACTCCTCGTGTAGTACCCCCAAAAAATATATCTAAGACGTCAGTTTCACAACACACTCCTGGCGTAGATGGATCTAAGACGTCAGTTTCACACACACACACTCTTGGTGTAGATAGATCAGAGACGTCAGTTTCACAACACACTAC